ATATATATATATATATATATATATTTAATTAGATAATGGTGATGTATGTGTGTATATATTTTATGGAGTACTGAGTATTTGGGATATATTGGCAAATATACCTCCCAATAAAACCACACTTCAAATTTTGAATTACCTTGAAATACTTCTTAGTTTTATAACTGTCTTTCTTTCCTTTATAAACAACAATAGTACTGAAATGCCATGTGTATGCTCCATTAAGATCTGATTTCTCTATGGACTGCCATATTGAGTTTTTAATCAATTCTGAATCTCTAATGAACTTTAATGATGAAATGAACTTTGAGCTTGTCTCTATAATAATTGAAAAATAAAAAGCTAATGGGAATAAGTGGGTACTAGAAAATGAATCCACAAAACCCTAACAGAAAAGGCATTATAAGGAAAAAAGCAGTGTATCCTGATACAGGATATTTCAAGATACAACAAACAGATCATAAGCAAGATGTTTTCAATGTCTTGCATAGTGAGAACAGATGTGTAGGTCTGGGAGTTCAAAATTTTACTCAATCATCCCTTTCACCAAGTACCCTATCTTAAACTAAGTTATCAATAAACTATGTAATGCTCCCTGAACTCATATTTAGTATATTGTATTTTCAGTTTAAAAAAAAATTTATTAATTAAGTGGATAAAATTAATTAGTTTTATTAATTAAGGGGTCTTATAAAGTCTGTAATTCTGTATTAAAGCCCACTTATAAAAAAATTACCTATACATTGGAAGCTTTAGAGCAAAATTATTAATAAAATAAAATAAAGCAAAGTTAAGTAATTTTCTTCTGATTAAAGAGTAAAGGTAGGTATAAATACTCAGTATTCTCAGTATATATATTGAGTGTAGACAGACAAAAGAGAGAGAATATTTATTAAAAATCTTTCTGATGTAATATCAGAGGGGATATGAATAAGAGTATGTGTTAAAATTATAGCTAAAATGAATATATATGTACACAATGTATTAGTTGCAGTGCTATTTTAAAGCCTAGATTTCAGAATTTAAAACTTTTCCTGTAAGCTAACAACTTTCAAGTAGGAATGTGTATATGTGATTTTGTGTTTACATCATTAATATAATCTGGAAACAAGTTGTATTGGAAATCATTGAATTCATGGGGGAAAAAGTATTGTTTGTTTAAAAATTTCAGGAAAATAAACACTTGGTTAGACCTGAAAAAATAAAAGATTATGTACTTTTATTAAATATTAGATAACGTTTTAAAGCTTTACATTTTAAAGCTTGGCATAATCCCTAAATGAATTATTAAAATGTTCCCATGAAGCAATTTTCTTTTGACACTCACAGCTGTATTCAATTTTGATGGTGTTCATTAGGTACCAACTTAAAAATTCAGGAGGAGCTTCTTTGGTTGAGTTTATTTACATGTAAAATATATATCAGTGTTCTTTTTTCCTGTGATTGTTCTGTGGTATCAGATAATTTATAAATTCATTTATTTCAATTTTCACATACGTATGTTTTTATTTTTTTTTTTATTTTTTTTTAAAAATTTTTTTTTTTCAACGTTTATTTATTTTAGGGACAGAGAGAGACAGAGCATGAACGGGGGAGGGGCAGAGAGAGAGGGAGACACAGAATCGGAAACAGGCTCCAGGCTCTGAGCCATCAGCCCAGAGCCTGACGCGGGGCTCGAACTCACGGACCGCGAGATCGTGACCTGGCTGAAGTCGGACGCTTAACCGACTGCGCCACCCAGGCGCCCCAACATACGTATGTTTTTAAAGTTCAGTTGTATGTTATTCCTGAAAGCATGGGAAATTTCAGGTAGCTTTCTAAGATACAGTGAAAACTGTTACCTAGCATCTCAAAACTGTACCACTACCTCAGTCTCTATTTCTTTTCAGCCTAACCTCCTTTTAAATTTGTCCCACTGTCTCCTTACATTTCCATACAACAGTGACTAGTGCATGCTGACTTAAGCCCTAAAATCCCTTAACTATTTCCAACGAATATCATGGTCACCACCTCAAAGTGAGAACCATGTGTGCTATTGCTGACTTCCTGGGTTTTTTTGTTTGTTTTTTTAATATGGCACATTCCTGAGATATAATCTATATGACTTAGTTCGAGATTCAATTTCACACAAAAAGAAAGTTAAATCCATTTATATTTACCTTCTTGGGGGTCTGATGTGTTTGAGAACAGTTTTGAATTATTGGTAAACTTTAAGGTGGGCTGTAGAGTGGTCGTTTCTCGATAAGGAGTAAACCCTACGAAGCTGTCACTGGTTGTGGTGAGCCATTCATCTGGTTCCGTTATCATGGGGGACGCAGACGTGGTGTTTGGTGCTGCAGGAAGGATGCTAATTGAAATTGAACTGTTGTCAGGAGTTTTCGTGGTATCACTGGCTGAAGACCAAGTGAACTTTTCTGAAGATGGAGCAGATGTAGCATCGGGAGGTGCTGAGACAGGCTGAGGATTTTCGTCTGCTATAGATGAGTTCTGAGGCAATTTAGAAACAAAGCCTTGGATCGAGGGAGGATTTGTGGGAAGCGTAGGCGTGGATCTTGGATTCCCAGAAAAGTTGTTTGTCGATGAATTGCCAAAGACCTCTGTTGTTCCATGGTTTTTATTTGATGGATCCCAAAGAGAGGAATTACTTGTTTTGGGATTGGAGGTTTCTCTATTTTCTTTATCTGAGCTTAAATTTGCGTCACTTTCCAAAGGAACAGATGCATTTTGCATCGCTTTTAAGCCTGCTGCAATGCTTTGTGTTGTGTTTATTTCTAGACCTTCTTCCCCAAGGCTTCCAATTAGTAGTAAACTAAACATTTTTGAAATCAACAGAATTTTGGCTGAGGTCAACATTGTAGCCTTTTTTTGGTACTGGTGTAATTAAGGGGAATCTGAAAGAAAAAAATAACAAGCATCTGAATTATTCAACAAAATAGCAAATTTTTAAAAATGGATCTACATTTTTAAAGTGATGAGGATTGAGACACCTGGGTGGCTCAGTAGGTTAAGCATCATACTCTGGATTTCCGCTGAGATATGACCTCACAGTTTGTGAATTCGAGCCCTGGGGCTCTGTGCTGATACGGAGCCTGCATCAGATTCTCTTTCTCCCTCTCTCTCTTTCTCTCTCTCTCTCTCTCTGTCTCAAAAATAAATAAACTTTTTTAAATTTTTTAAAATGTTTTTATTTATTTTTGAGAGAGACAGAGTGCGAGTGGGGGAGGGGCAGAGAAAGAGCCAGACACAGAATACAAAGCAGGCTCCAGGCTCTGCCCCAGCATTCAGAACAGAGCCTGTCGAAGGGCCTTGAACTCAAGAATGGTGAGATCGTGACCCGAGCCAAAGTCAGATGCTTCTCCAGCTGAACCACCCAGGTGCCCCCCAAAAATCTTTTTAAGTGATAAGGATCTAGATACATAACACTTAATTGATAATACCATACTCTTTATTCCTAAAGTTTATTTTGTTTGGATTATGTACTAAAATTAGAGTGAGTTCTATATTCTGTATAATATTTCTTTCTTCTTTCTTCTAAGGAAGTGCCATGCAAAAACTTTGTCAAGCCATACACCACTATTCCACTATTTGAAAGATCATTTAGCTTGAGACAAGTTGAAATATATGTATGAACTATGAACATATACATAGAGTTCGTATGTATATGGAATATTATATATAGATTGCTAAGTAAAGCATTGTAAATGTGGGACATGTAGAGCTGGCTGATTTTTTTAACCTATTTAAGAAAATATGTTCTTTATAAAGATGTAACTTGGAATATTTATGATGAAAATGATGTTGCTGATTGTACTATATACATACCACTTTCAAGTGAATCAGTCAGGAAATCCACTTGAAAATATTTCACTAGCACCTAATCTGAATTATTTGAATTTGAAATTAACATCCCTTTTTTGACAATACTTTTCACTTCATGATGCCCTTCTTCCTATGAATCCCAAATTAGGGAAATTCAGAAAGACTTATAGATTTTAGGATATTTTTTCCTTGTATCCCCTTACTGTGTAAATGAAGAATCTGGCTGGGAGCATGTGTGGAAAAATGACGGTGCCAGATAGTAGCAGAGTTGGGGGTTGAAACCCTTGTACAGTTCTCTTATCTCTTATCCTTCTGCCTCTGAAGTGTGGAAATGCCATAGTTCACAGATAGCAGGATATAGGGACAAGGTTTTAAAATTAGATTTATATTAAAATTCTGACTTGCATTATGGATAACCTGTGAAAAATAATCATCATAATAAGCATCATCATCATAATCATATTGACCTCTCAATGCTGTTCTGAAGAGTGAAGATTTAAGTACAAGTACCTTAAACAATACCTGACCTAAAGTAAGTAGCTAATAGACATTAACTTCTATTTTTTTATTATTAGAATATAATTTCTGTGTCTTACATTTCAAAGGGTTTACAGTTTCATCTTACTTGATCTTCACAATGATCCCTGGAGACCAAAAAAATTATGCTTGTAATATCTTCATTTTGCACAGGAAGAAACTGAGGTCCAGAGTGGCTAGTAATGAAAACTAGTGAATGGAAGAGTAGCACTGAAATCCAAGACTACTGACTCCAACCTAATTAGATGCTAAAATTTGAAAGATCGTTAATATTAAAATATTCTTTTAAAAACATTAGGCTATTCCTCCTCAAAGGATAGAGTCTGAAAACTGATATCCTGCTCTTTGAATTGTATCTTAGAGCTTATTTTTCGCTAACAGCATCCAGGGTAGGGAGGTGCAACTGCTATCTTTAAGGTCCAGTATTACCTACCTGCCTTTTTTTGTTTTTTTTAAGGCTTATTTATTTATTTGAGAAAGAGTGTGTGTGTGTGTGTGTGTGTGTGTGTGTGTGTGTGTGCGCGCGCGCGCGCGCGCGTGAGCGTGCACGCGTGCGATGGGGGAGGGGCAGAGAGAAAGGAAGAGAGAGAATCCCAAAAAGGCTCCACATTGTCAGCACCTAGCTGGACACGGGGCTCGATCCCATGAACCATGAGATCATGACCTTAGCCGAAATCAAGAGTCAGATGCTTAACCAACTGAGCCACCCAGGCTCCCCACCTGCCTTTTCTTAAGAGCGCTTCCAGAAATTTTTGTAATTATTTTCAACCTTAATAACTTTTTATTAGGGTTTGAGGAGCCTCAATGTACTCCCTCTGATTTTCTTTTAAGTGCCCTCTCCCTGATTAATAGTACCTTACATAGTGGTACAATTTAAGTATATTTATACTATATCCTGATATATATATTTTTTCAAAAGCTTTTAGTAATTAGTCCATACCTGTGGATTTCTAAGGCTTTACAAATATATGCCATACCTTATGCTTATCACTTAAAAAAAATCTACTTAAAAACCTAGGCAGACAGGCAGACAAGAATATTCATAGGAGCATTATTTATAAATGTCTCCAGCCTAAACATCCATCAGTAACAGATCAGATAGTAAATTGTGAAATATTCATACATGAAAATTAACAAACTAGAGCCATGTACAACAGAGGTGATTATGACAAATGTAATGCAGAGCTCACAATGCCAGTTGTAGTGTGTGATTTCGTGTATGTAAAATTCAAAAACGAGTAAAAACTGTCAAAAGTTTTTAAAAGAATGTTAAAAGTCAGGAATGTGGTTACTTGTGGGAAGGAAAGAGACAGTACTGATTAGGTAGCCATGGAAGGGACTTCTGTATGCTTGTGATACTGTCTCTTAACCTGGTAGGAATTACCTAGGTGTTTATATTTGTGATACTGTTTGTTTATATTTTTCACATTTCTGTGATAGCCAAGAAAATGGGTATAGTTCCTAAAAATGTTAACATAATTGGAAAACATATTACTATTATGCATTTATTAAGTCAGATGCTTCACATGTTTTCTCATTTAATTCTTACCCAAACCAATCAAACATACAATGAGGAAAGGATTGTCAATCCTGTTTTACACATAATTAAATGGGGCATTAAAAATGTAAGTAATTGTGACCAAGACCACAGAGCTAATGACTGAGAGATAGGGTTAGGACTCAAACCTCACTATTAAAGCTAGTAATCACTCAACTGCGTAAAAGAAGTTACAAAGGAATATAGAAACTGGTTACAAAAGGATCTAGAGTTCAGCTGCTTTTTAGAAAGTTTTTCCCACCAATATATTTTTAGCACCGCTTCTCCAAATTGTATTATTTTACCCAAAGTAGTTTTTAATACCATGACTGTAAACACTAGAAAACGAGGGCCTTCTACCTTAAGTACCTCTCAAACACGCTAAATACACTTTTATCCCAATTTAAGAAAATGCCAGCAATCGTCTCTATGGTTCTGGGTGAACACCTTTAGCATATAGTTTACAAATTAACAAAACACAAGTTCTTATCCCCAGGACCTTTAGTTTTCACCAACACATTATTAAATGGATGCTCCACCTGGCACATTTAAAATACAATTCAGTTTAGTTTTAGAAATATTTACATGTATCTTTTCAGAAACATCCTTTTGTGAACTCTGCCAGGTTCATAGCAAACATTATAACCTTTCTCATTATCCAATTCCAGTGGTCTGATTTCTTTACGAACTATACTTAACCACTCATTGTGTCATTACTATACATTTTGACTTGCTTTCCCTACACCTAGGCTTTCTGGTTATTTTTTCATCCTAATGAAGTGGTGATCAGAGGGGAAAAAACAGCCCTTAGCTGTTCTAATTTTCTCATGTTACATGAGGAATGAGCTTTCACTCCCTTCCCGTAATGAGAATCCATGTATCAAGAGTCAGCAAAGTGAGTTTTGTTGTTCCTGACTCACTTTGTAACATTGAACCACCAAGGGGATCTCTCTACCCTTTACCCAGCTTTTGACTGTAACTTGAAAACCTAAGGTATCAATACCCCAAATGAGCCAAGGCTTCTGTTTCTGCCTATAATTTATCTCGAGGGAAAAGAAAGAGAAGAGAGAGACGATGTATGCCGTGAATACTATTTACAGTTTATTCTAGTTATGGGTAAGGCTTTCGCCAGAATCAGTTTATTCCTGTTGTCCCAGCCTGAAGCAGAGGACACTTCACTTCTGCTCCTTGTTTTCCAAGAGAAACAGTTTACACCTCTCACTCAGGTCCCTTCATCTTAAAGGGATAGAAGTAGGCAGGAATAGAAACCATCAGCTCTTCAGAATCTCAGGCCTGGGTTTTTGCTGGAGAAAAGACTAGGAAATGTTGGTTAAGTTCGACCCCATTCTGACTTAAACCAGACACACGGTAAGCAGCAAAGTCTAAAGGAGGTGATACAGACGCTCTGAAGGGCAGTAAAAGAAATCTGTGCTCTTTTTCTTTGCACTTTTCTCTCAGCCTCTCTCCATCTGTAGAGTTTAAATATTTAAAACTGTGCTGTGTCCTTGTTATGTGAAGTTATGCTGGATGATGGTTGGTGTGCTCATGTGTGCCCAAGTTCATCTGTCAACCAGGTGCCCTGTGGAGGCAGACAGAGATGGGACGACAGAAAATACAATCGTAGAGCAAGAGCAAATCGGGAGAACCAGGTAGCATCATTCCCCCTCCCGGTCTTTGTCCCTTCTTGCCCCTAGGTGGGAACTCAGGAGAGGAATTTGGAGACTGTATAACACAGGAACCGAGCTAAGACCATTACAAACTTAAAAAACCTCTAAGACTAGAATTATTATAAAGGGAAGAGAAAAAGAGAGGAGGATTTCCTTCCACTTTGTGATACTTGAAACACAGATTCTAAACCTGTCTGTATATATTGAACTATTTTTATCGTTTCTGGTAGTTAACAAATTTTAAAATATGCTTTCAGAGAGTATGAGTTTCACTTTTTAAAAAATAATTATGGAACGCAGAGAAAATGAACACAGTTTTCTCCCCTTTTTTTTGGTGTTGGCACTAGAAAGTGGCTTCACATTTGAATTTTGTATGGAGGGCTGCAGAGGTGGTGGGAGAAAATGGCAACCGTGTCCATTGAGGGAAACAAATTCACACTGTCTGTGCATAATTTTGCTTCCCCTTAAATGCATAAAGTCATTATTCTGCCCAGTCTTCCTGTTGTAACTGAGTCATACCCATTTTATACCAAGCTTTAAAAATAAGGAGGTACCCTGCGAGGTCCACCAATGCAAGGGAAGAGAAATGCTAGTTACTCTAAACTCAGTCAAAATCCAACTGTTAAAGGACAGCGTTAGTTCAGGTACACGAAGGGGATAATAGAAAACCTGGATTCTGCTGTGAAATAACTAAACAATACTTGGACTGTGCTTCTTCTCTCTCGGTTGCTTTTGCTTGTTTCTTATTATAGATCTCAGGCTACAGATTAAGACAGATGGGTTTTGTTTGTCTTTGTCCTAGGAAATTCAGTCTGACATGCAGCCAATAACCCAGACAGACCCTGAGTGTTACTCTTGAGTGGCCTTTACAATCTTCAACAGTATTTGCCGTTCCTAAATGAAAGCCACAATAAATGAGGACCTAATGAACTATGCTCCTAGAAATGCCTCTTTTATAAAAGGGTTTTGAAAGGATGAGAAGTCTTAGTAGCCAGAACGGAGGATTGTACCTGAGGACCTTAGGGCGTATCATTTACTTTTATTTGATTTAAAAAGAAAAGAAAAACATGACTTTTCCTTTAGGAAAAAAAAAATTCAAGTTTGTGAACATAATTCTAATTAAAAGACTGGGGTATGCGTAAATCCAGGAAAAATATTTAGGTCATGATCCCAGCTCACGTGAGCATTCTTAGTCATAAACTTCAGTGCTGAAATAAATAATTAGGTGGAAGAGTATCAAGCTTAGAAAGAAAGACTGTCTCCAAAAGAAATATTCTGGACCCCAATTCCCAAGCTTGGGGTTTTCAGCCTTCTGTTACATTTCACTGTCTGTAGAAAATGCCTCAGTAGATCAAATAGAAAGGGCTAAGCAGTAAACAAGCATCCCTTTAATTAAAGGAGCCTTTCACACAACCACAAACTGAAAATAATTTTAAGGAACTTTATCCACACCTTCATTCCATAAGATGTGTTCTGAAGCAACTGACTTAACAACGTTTTAGGTATCCAGTGACTGCCGGCCGTAAGCACATAGCATGTTAAGTGAAATAGTTTACATACACAACGTTTTACCAGTTTTTTTGATTAATAAAATCCTTGGAAAAATATACAGAAGCCTGTAATTCAAAGATTGTTCTTCAAAACCTGTCTTATTCTAGTACTTTAGCAAGAAACTTAAAGCCAAAATGCATAATTAAAATCTAAGTAATCAGTTTACATTCTTGCCATTTCCACTTTAGACATGTTGAAACTTTTACTAAGATCTGATTTAAGGAAACTCTCCCTTGTAGTCATGTACATTTTAAGTGAGGTTTTTATTTAACTCTCCAGCTGGTTCATCATGTAGCAAATTTGGCAGTAATTGGAAAAACTAAGTCACTTGGTGCAAATGCTCATTTGGAAGGTGATTACTTAACAAAACAACTACCTGTTTTTACAAGGATCTCCGTAACTACTTGCCAGAGTGGCAAAAGTTGAGCCTGCTTTGATTTTCTTTGGTAAATAAATGAGGGGGGGGCGGGGAAGCAAAAGGGAAAAAGTAAGGGAGAGAGAGAGAAAGAAAGAGAGACGGAATCCCAGGCAACCCAGCACACCCTTACCTTCAGGTTTTGGAGGTATTTACAAACAGGAACTAAAATATCACAGACAGCTGTCCTGGCTGCAATGCGTCTGCTGAGGATTAGAGAAAGAAGAGGGGTGAAGTATGACAATGTCCCACTGGGCAGGAGGGTGTCAGAAACAAAATTTGGTGGAGCTGGCCCAATCTTGCTTGTGTAATAGAGCACCCAAGAACCTGACTGACCTGCTTCTCAGCTGTCAGCATGAAGATATCACCTCATTCAGGCCTTTAAAAAAAAAAAAAAAAAAGCCCAACCCTCCAGCTTTCATAGGTTGGTCCATTTTGACTTTGAGGCAGGCTGGGTCTCTTGAGCGGTGGCAAACCAGGGGTCATCTGTTTCCTGCCCCAAATGAAAAAAAAAAAAAAAGGGAGAAAGACTTTGGTAATGTCCCTTGGTGTATCAGGAATTTCTGGCACATGCTGGCTTCCCCCTTTGCAGGTGAGGACACCAAAATGACTCATGGCCCGCACCTGTTGCTTTGTGCAAGTCCTGTGATGTTTTCTTAGATCATAAACAAACCTGTCTTTCTCATAGTAGGGTACCAAACACCTGAATGGAGAAAACGTGGTGTGAGCAGTAGTGAGGGGCCTCATGTGCAGGGCACCAGTCGGTCACTTAACACAAAATGAAAGAATGTGTATTGGCATCCTTGAGAAAGCTGTGAACCATTCGGTTAGAAATAACCACCGGGACTGAAATGGGCTTTCTTGCTGACTTTAGGAGTTTGGGGAGAATGGCCACACAATCCTGAGTAATCCTGAGAGCCTTCACGTTTAAGTAGTTTCCATCCTGTGTTCTCTTTGCTTTTACTCTCAATTTAGAAGCTGAAGAGTTTCAGAAGTGCCCGGGCAATGCTTGATTGAATACGGGAGTTGAATAACAACCTGGCATGCTTCCTTCACTTCCTTCCACGGCTTATGAAAGGGAGCCGAGTGAAACTGTAGTTTCTGGGATATTCTGCACACCAGTATTTGGGGGCCAGCGCCAAGGCCCATTGAGCTCAGTATGCCTAAGTTTCATGCTTAGTTTCTGTTGTTCAAGGAGATAGGTTTCCAACTGCTGAGAGAGAAAATGAAACTTTAGCTGGAGTACAGGAGCTTCAAATTGAATGCAAAGAATCTACCCAGTTAATTGGCCCGGGAAAGAACAAGGTAACGCTATAGTTTTAAATTTTCTGAAGCCCAAAGGCCCCTTCAGAGTTTCATTAGGAATTAAGCCAACCCCTAAAAAACATTCCCTCAAAAGATATTTAAGCTGTATCTGCACTGGTATGAAGAAAAGCAAGTTAAATTAAATCAAGCAACTGGTTACTGAGCAATAGCTTAATAGAATTCATTTGGTTATTTTCAGATTAGTCAATTACTAGGAAAAAATCCAACTCAAAAAATATTTTATGTCTATTGAGAGAACTGAACATGATTTGGCAGGATTGGGTGTGCCATACCCGTAGGGATTTTCCTAGATATGTGTATGAATATCATTACCACTTTCTGACTTGACCATAGTAATTATGGCCTATACCAGGCATGGAAATTATAAGGTACTTCTGCTATACCTGTCTGCTTTCACTGTGTAAGAGTCAAAGTCATCTCCCATGACCCTCTTTTCTGGAGACTCTACCTATGGCCTCAGAATCCTCTTCATCACCGCTCTCCTGACAGCCATCACCAATTGATTAAAATGACCCTGGATGTAAACCCTATTTACCCTTCCTGTCATGAGCACATCTGGAAGTAAAGTCATAACATAAAAATAATGCATATATTTAACACCTCAGTGGTTACTTAGCTCACTTGGTTGTGGTCAGAAATCTTTGTG